ACACCCCACATCACACCCCACAGCACACCCCACAGCACGCCCCACAGCACGCCCCACAGCACGCCCCATCACACCCCACATCACGCCCACAGCACGCCCCACAGCACGCCCCACAGAACGCCCTACAGCCCCACATCACACCCCACATCACGCCCCACAGCACGCCCCACAGAACGCCCTACAGCCCCACAGCACGCCCCACAGCAAACCCCACAGCACACCCCACAGCACGCCCCACATCACGCCCCACAGCACGCCCCACATCACGCCCCACAGCACGCCCCACAGCACACCCCACAGAACGCCCTACAGCCCCACAGCACGCCCCACAGCAAACCCCACAGCACACCCCACAGCACACCCCACATCACGCCCCACAGCACGCCCCACAGCACGCCCCACAGCACGCCCCACATCACGCCCCACAGCACGCCCCACAGCACGCCCCACAGCACACCCCACAGAACGCCCTACAGCCCCACAGCACGCCCCACAGCAAACCCCACAGCACACCCCACAGCACGCCCCACATCACGCCCCACAGCACGCCCCACATCACGCCCCACAGCACGCCCCACAGCACGCCCCACATCACGCCCCACAGCACGCCCCACATCACGCCCCACAGCACGCCCCACAGCACGCCCCACAGCACGCCCCACAGCACGCCCCACAGCACGCCCCACATCACGCCCCACAGCACGCCCCACAGCACGCCCCACAGAACGCCCTACAGCACGCCCCACAGAACGCCCTACAGCCCCACAGCAAACCCCACATCATTAATTTTTAACATTAATGGTCGGGCGTCACACTTACGTGAACTTTCTAACTGACGGCCATTTTGGGAGGCTGTTTGCTGAACGAGCAACAGCCATAAAACTGGATCTCACCTCGTTCTTACCTAACTTATGTACAATATAACAATCAATCAATCAATCAATCAATCAATCAATCAATTTTGTTCATTTCAGCACCAAGGCTTACAAAGTTAACATTGCATTTCATTGTCCATCACCAAAATCACACATCAAATATTTGGTAAATTTCTTGTGGTTCAAAAGCTTTTTCACAAAGTTTTACATAAATACTGTGTAGTTTTACATAAATACTGTGTAGTTTTACATAAATACTGTGTAGTTTTACATAAATACTGTGTAATACTGAGTTAAATATTAGTGATATTTTCTGTAGTTCTTACTGTGAAACTAGCTAAATTAATACAAACAAAAATTTTTTTTAAGCTTTAAAATATTCTTTGACATTTTTGTGGCTGTACTAAATATTATATTTAGTTGTATAAATATGACGTGAATGAAAATAAGCCTTTCATCATCGTCACTGATTTCTCGGTTGCAGTTAATCAATCAAATGATTTATTGACCTTCTTTCTTTTTTCTTCGTAGGATTGTTGAAATCTACAGCCGTCGACTACAAGGTGCTTTTATTTAAATGTTTAACTCTGTTATTCTGTAAACGGCTCTAGATTTAGTTTGAGATGTTTTAAAACTTTCAATGAATATTTATTAACTACTTGTTACTTACAAGCATTATTTGTAATAATACTGGTCTATTTTGTTGTGATCTGCGTTAATTAATTGGATTTTTTAAATAGTTGGCACGTTTGTAGATTTTTCATTGACCCAATCGGAGGTTCTGTCATCCTGTTTGTTGCCCCAGTCCAGGAGAGGTTGACCAAACAGATTGCCGTTGCCATCACCGAGGCCCTGCAACCCACCGGGGTCGGAGTCGTTGTCGAGGCAACGTATGTATCTCTCTTCAGACGCAGAAACTTTATTTATTTTGTCACGTTTAAACTACAATCTTCCACTTTAAGCGATGGACCAAACGCGCTTCCTGACTGCAGCCTGCAGTTTGTATTTACAAACACCAGAGGGCGCTCCTGTCCTTGCTTGCCTGGACATGAAGTCGCATTAAAACCCGAGGATTTTTACAGTCAGAAATCACAGTGAAGCAGAACAACAAATTATTATATAAACTTATGGAGAAATCTGCAGGTTGCATTAGTCTGTATTTCTATTTGTACGATTATTTCTGCTGAAGTTCCAGTCGTGCTTTAAAGAAAAACATCTGACTCTTTCCAGCTGAAAAGTTGTAAAAACAAAATCCAGTGAAAATACCTTATTTTAAATGTAGTAACTTGCAAATAACTTTTCAGCAAGACAGTTTATTATTTCAAGTCAATAATTCCTGATAGTTCCACAGGCAAATTATTTCATTTATAACAATATAATTTTCCCATCTTATTATTCATGTTTCAAATTATTATGCAAATGGGATTTAACTGTCATAAAGATAAAAATTTTTTTACAGATTGTATTAAATTTATAGGCGGTATTGTGTGTCTTTGAATCACTATAACTAATTTCAGGGAGCTGGTTCATGAGTTGAGCTCAATTAAAGGAAATCTACTGAAGAAGGATGTTCCACATTACTGAGCAGGCCGCAGGTTTCAAGCAATATGGGAAACAGAAAGAATCTCTGCTGACGAAAATCAGATAGTGTTGTGAAAACATTAGGTGTTTAACAAAAACTGAAGCGTTTTGGTCGTACTGTGAAGAGATTTGCGGCTGATTCAGAACAAAGATGGTTTGTACAGAAAAAGGCAAAACGAGGAAGTTTTCTTCAAGACAAATTCATGAGATTAAGAGCAGCTGTTAAAATGAATCACAATATAATTAATCATGTCAGCCCTCGACTCAAATAATAAATCTGTTCACTCCAGCTAGCGATTGAACAATTACTAAATTAGTTGATTATTTCAGTAATTGATTACGATTAAGCGATTAATCGTTTCCGCCCCAAACTCACCGGCTGCGGCAGCCATCTTGGCCTGCGTTGGCCTTTCTCCAGATTTAAATGTTGTTCTGTGTGTTTCTCAACGTAACGGCGTCGTTCCGCTCGTCTCTGCAGCCACATGTGCATGGTGATGCGAGGCGTCCAGAAGATGAACAGTAAAACCGTCACCAGCACCATGCTGGGAGTCTTTAGAGAAGACCCGAAAACCCGCGACGAGTTCCTGACCCTCATCCGGAGCTGAAGGAGCTCCTCTTCCTCCTGTTGCCTGGGGTTGCCTCCACCTGCTCAGCCTGCCTGCCGCTGTGTGTCTGTGTGTGTGTGTGTGTGTGTTATTGTTCACTCTGTTGACCCGATGACCCGGAGCGTTGCCTCAAGGTTGACTGACCCGATTATTCTGACAGATTTGACCCTGCGGGTTTTTTTTAGGATGTTCTCTGAGACACCTGAGCTTCTCCTAAAAACTCAGAACAATTTTCTTGTAGCATAAATACATATATTTTTGCATAATTTCATCAATCTATTGCTACAATGTAGCTTATTTGTAGCTTTAAAACCCATTCATAGTTTGTAGCATGCTACACGCTAATTATGCTAACTACACTACGTGCTAATTTAGTTAAATATTGACTGTTCTGCTGGCTAATTATGCTAATTTTAATTAGCTTAATGCTGTCCTACATGACAGTTGAGGTACATGCTAGCTATGCTAATATGAGCAATGCTGCAAGAAAAGTTTGCTGAAATTTTTACCATGGGGCCAATTCTTTGAAATTATTATTTCAATTCCTAAATGTATTTTATTTAAAAATAATAAGTTGTGTCCTTGGACTAGACCTTTCTCCCTGGTGGTCATGGGATGCTTCTGCCCCCTCTGCCAGGGCTAAAGCGTAGCTTACCACCATCTGTGTATGAATGTGTCTGAGTGTAAATGACTGAATGTAGTGTTGAGCGCTTTCTAGTCCTCTGGACTAGATCAACGTTGCACAAGTACAGGCCACTCACCATTTGTCTGGAATTTTGCACGTGTATTTTCATCAACAAGAAAAGGATATCACTTTGTTTTTATTTTTAGCCAAATTTTAATAAATGGCTGTGGCCAATCTGGATTTCAATGAACATAATAGGATGTCTTGGTCCTGTTCACTTTCAAATTGAATGGAAAAAAAAAATGATAAATACCTTGTGTTGTACCTTACATTCTCCATTTTGCAATTTTATCAGTATATTTTTAAAAGCCTCCCTTTGTTAAGATTTGACCCCAAACATTTTACATGTTAATCTGCGTCGACTGGCTGAGTTAGCAAACCAAACTTAAACAATTCATGAATTGTGGTCGAGGGCCACACAAAATAATCCCCAGGGCAGACAATGGCCCGCGAGCCACACATTGGACATCCCTAACTGAGGTAGATAAAAGAAATTCTGTCCTCTGTGAAAGATTAAGTTATGATGACTTCCTAAAGGTGATCAGTCTATTTTGAACTCTACTGTCTACCTTTGAAACGGTTCAATGTCAGCTGGTCACCTGCCAACTGTGCTACAAGCTAGTTTCTATATCAGCGTCAGAAAGTCTTTTCATTAATCTTTAAAATCCTGCAGATGATGTTGGAAGACAAGCTGCCTGACCTCTGACCTGTCTGAGCTTTTATATTCCCTGAGGATTTTAATAAAGGTTAAAAGTCGCAGCAATTATCTCCAGGTGTTAGCATTAGCATGTTCCCAAAAAATACCTGAATCCTTGTTGAAACCAACATTTTCCCTTGAAACATATTTTTTCATTCCTTTGTGAGGAACTGCCTTTAAAGCCAACCAGCCTCAGAACAGATATTTTATGTCCATAAGAGTTTTATTCAATGTATTTGTATGCATGTGTGTTTTCCTCTCCGTTTCCATCCTGGTAGATGAACACTGTGAAGAGATGTTTGTTGTTTTGTGTCTTTGCACACCAGTGCATCATGATGTCCGCTGTCTGGTTTTAATGGTGTAACTGGAAGATGAATGCTAAGAAAAAAAAAGCTTTAACTGTTTCTGTGGCCTTGTTTAATTGTTGTGCTCATTTTAAAGACTTTTTAATCAAAGATAATAAAAGTATGTGACGGCAGAGAGTGTGTTTTATTATAAAAATGTTATTCCTGATATACATGTTTGTAAAAAGTTTTTCTTTGTTGTTTTAAACGCACTGCTGCCCTCTTGTGGTCAAAAACAAAATACAGCTGGTATGTTTTCTATGATTTCAATTTTTTACAATGTTTTTAATGAAGAGATATTTTCTAATTTCCAAAGGATTTCATGAGTGAATGCATCAAGACGTTCTGAATGTTTTGTTACGAAATCAGACAAAAAACCACAACCAGACGTGTTTTGTTTGTTTTTATATAAATTGGGGGCATGCCAAATCACAGCATTCTGGTACATCGCAGCAAAAGTACAAAACACATCAAAATAATTCTCATTTCATCATTTTCACACCAACACGTGTGAAAGACAACAACAGGTACCAACCAGTTTAAGCAGCTGGGCTCACGCTCATTTATTCATCTGGATTATTTTATTGCAAAAATAATCCAAGAAATCTAAATCTGGAGGTTCAGTTTATGAAACTTAACCAGTTCTGTGAATATTCAGGTGCTAAAACTGCAGACAGTAAGATTTATTATTGATGCAAGGAGTTTGAAAATTGATTAAACATTGGTTGATTTAAAAACGATATTTTTAGTGAAATATCAAGTTAAACTTTTTGGACTGATTTCAGCATCAATAAAATCCTAAAAATAAACAGTTTTTTAATTAAATTGGTTGTTTTGAACGTGAACTCCACTCAGCTGTCATTCCTCCCAAAGCCGAAACATTAAATCGATACAAAACCATTTATTTCGTTTTGCTTTTTTATGATGTTGATGTGTCAAGTATAGAAAAAAGGCACTGCCATTTGTTATTCTAAATACGACCTTCCCAGTCTCGTGCATGCAGTTTAAAATATAAATACATTTTTTAAATTGTCTTTTCATTTTCTAGATTTTTATGTTTTATTTTTTGCAACTTTTTATTATTAAACATACATTTTAATTTTTTTTTTCAAATATAGAAGAAAGCCTGCAGTCAATACAGGACATCGGCTCTTTGATAAAATAAATCTAAATGAAATAAAGGGATAACAGTCGAGCGGTGACGCTTTGTTACATATTTCCAAAAGAACAAAACAAAAACAAACTAACAAAAAAAGAACAAAAAAGTCCTGACATCTGAAAAAAAAATACAAACTGATTTGCAGACTCTATGAAAAATAAAAAAAAGCATACATAACTCAACATAAAGTATGATAAATGCTTTTGGAATAACAAAACGATAAATGTTAATACTGCGGAGCTGATTTGGTTCGATTTAACACAAATTACATCATTTTGTTCACACATCAAGTCTCTTTAAAATGAGGATTTTCTCAAACATAAAAACCATCAGAAATATCCTTATTTCTCTTAAGCAGATTTCCGACTGAATGAAACACAATGCCACCAGGCAAAATGTGTTAATCCGCCGCTAAAAATAGTCCTCCCAAAATGGCCGCTTGGTGGGAAACACCACCAGCCAGATTGCAGCTCGTATTAAACGTCTTCCTTCTACAAACACATTTCTGACTCCAGAACCAAACGGAGAGTTTGGATCTGGATCAAATTAAACAGAAATAAAACTCAACAAAAGCGAACAAGAACAAAAAATGACGATATATTTGAGATGTATGCATGGTCACCAGCCATAACACGTTAACACAGACGGTACTTAAATAATAAAACAAGTTTTACCTCTGCAGGAAATACGGAAAACGAAAGGAAATAAATTATTATTTTCTACTCAAGTACTGAGCGATGCATGGCAGTGAAGCTGAGAGATTATATAGAGAAACAGAAACAAGGTTTAGAGTTTAATCTGCTTCCTCTGCATCTGAATGGAGAATCTGAACACGCAGGCGCAGATTTTCAGCCATCCAGGACTTAATCTTGAGAGTTTTAAATGAATATTGTCATGTAAAACATGAAAAACCAGCAGTGAAGAGCCTCAGATTTCATCTTTCTAACATCTGCACTGCAGCCTGGACTCGACTCCTCAGGCAGTTTCACAGAAACCCGCACTGGGACTAAAGCTGAAACGATTAACCAGATCAATCGTGATTTAGTGATCGATTAATTGTTAACTGGAGTACAGAGATTCAAAAAAATGCAGTTTGCCAAAAATCAACATGCTAAGAGCATTAATTAATTAGTTAATTAATTAAATAACTGAAAAACGTATTTGTAGATCTTTTCTGTATGATGGTATTTTATATTGCAAACAAAAATAAAGTATCTGCCAAATAATTCAGAAATTTTGCAATTGATCTCAGAAACTTTCTAGGAAAAAAGAAAATGTTTTTAAAAAAACAAACCTGCATTCTTTTTCAACTTTTGAAACTCAAATAGCCAAATTTTTTTCTATAAAAATTCTGAGCTTTATTTTTCCATCTCTAATTCACTGTCGTAGTTTCACCCAGATCTCCTCTCGTCGCATTTTTAGCTTCAAGTGAATCAAATTCTGTAAAAAGGAAAAGAAAAATCAACTGATAAGCACCATCAATATCTAATTATTGATCGGTGAATAATAATCAACCGAACAGCCCATCACTCTATTGATCTTTTTATCCGATTAATCGTCAGAACAGAAGAAACCGTTTGGATGAGTCGATACATCTCAGAAAAGTTCAGTTGTTTTCATTTAAAACTCTCAGGAGTTTCTGCACATTTTCAGCCTCTTAAAACAAATCAAAAGCTAAACAAAAGCAAAACGGTTTAGATCATCTGTAGAACAATTAAAATACACAAAAATGTTTTTATCTTTTGATATCGTTTTCTAATTGTTTTGAGGTCATGTTAGCATGTAGCTTTCATTAACGTAACAAACCTCTCCGTGTCTCGCTTCGCTCAGAACAGGAACATTCAGGTATCACTGACAAATTCAGATCAATTATTAAAGTCTAACATTTTCTGGAAAAAAACTAAACATAATTTCTGGGTTTCAAAAGTTTAAAATTGTAAGTTTTCAAGAGAAAAACTCCAAATGTTTGGAAATTTCAAAAATTTTCTAGCAAAAGCCTCCGAAATGTTGAGATTAATCTAAAAAATATTCGGGAGAATCGAGAAATGTTCTTTTTAAGAAGTTGAAAATTTGCTGGAAAAAACAATTTTGAGAATAATTTCTGAAATTCTAGAAAACCTCAGAAGTTTTGACATTAAATTTTCTAGAAAAAATAACAGATTTCTAAGTTTTAAAGTAAAAATTATTCAACTTTTTTCAAATTTCAATGTGTGGTGCATCTGGTGATGTAATTTTTAAACATTAAATGAAGGATATTTTACCAGTTACTCAGTACTTGCAGAGACTTTTTAGCACTTTTTTTACTCTTACTTGAGTCATTTGTTGAACGGCTACTTTTACTTTTACTTTAGTGAAAGCCAAAATTAGTGAATATTTCGGCTGCTCTGAGTGAAACCCTGGTCTCCACTGCATGCAGAGCCTGCAGGTTCTTTAGCTAATGCTAAAATAGTGCAGGATGAGCCGCCTTGCATTCTTTCACACCTGAATTTAGCGCCGTCCAGTGCAATCGGATCGGCGGGCCGAATGCTGGCTGCGTCTGAACGAAGCCGTTTCAGGAGGAGACTCTGCTACAGCTCCTCCTGAAACCAGAGAGAAAATGGCTGCTGTGACATTAAAAACATTTTTAACTCCAGCCTCTGAGTTTAGATGAAGAGAAAATACTCAGATGGTTAACGTTTGAACTTCAGTGAGTCACATTATCAAGTGCAGGATGCAAAGAAAATACAACAATAAACCCTAAACTGCAAAAACACAGAACATTACCAGCATTCTGAGTCCAGTTTCTAATGAAAATACCTTAGTATTCTTGAAATAACACAAAACTAACTTACAGTAACGTTTCAGCAAGAAACAGGTTTTACGTAAATAATTTGTTAAAGTTAATCATCTTAAACAATCTGACAGTGGAAAAGTCAATTATTCTAGAACTGCTAGAAATAAATCATCACGTCAGCAAATGGTTAAAACTGATGCTAATAGCAAAACTAGAATAGCTTTTACCTGCTAAAACTAATTACTAGATATAATTTATGATTAGAACTAGAAAAATGTTTTGTTATAACTTAATAAATTATCTACCTAAAACAAGCTGTTTCTTGCTGAAAAGTTAATTGTCAGTCAGTTTTTCTCTCATTTCAGGTCTTCTATGATACCTGCACTAGAAACCAGACTAACATACTTGGTAAAATTTAGTTTTTGCAGTGTAATTATTAAAGAAACTGATCTGGATTCACCAGGTTATTTGCACATTTCCTTGATGGAAGTTTATTCCAGATAGAAGCAAATAGGGATAAATATTAAGACGCAAAATAATGAAGAAAATATATTCTACGACAGCCTCTGCTGATGAAGCAAAGACACAGATGCAATGACTGCGTCTGGCCAGCAGGTGGAGGTAAGCACTAATCAGACAATCTCTGGGAGAACTACCCTTCATGGATTGACCAGTTTGTTTTTCACACTTTTTTAACGAATACTTTTTTGCGACATGCGGCTTAACGATCGCCCCGACATCCCGACACGCTCCGATTGTCTCCCGTTCACGACATTTCCTGCATTTTCCTGCAAACCTGGAGATTCAGACGAACAAATCCACTTCCCGCTGCCTTCGCTCACATGACATCATCATCCTCCGTCTGGCCTCTTCAAACATCCGCTTCCCCCTCTTCAGCATCACTTCAGCTTAATTCCTTCCTCTACAACATGTGTGTGTCAAACTCAAGGCGCACGGGCCAAATCCGGCACGCTGTAGCTATTTATTGGGCCCCCTAGACGAGATGTTTGCAACTTTTACAACCTAAAGAAAATTATGGAAATACTCAAGCTTTAAAAATCGACAATTAATTTGACATATTTTGTAGAAAAACTTGGAAAACGTTTTTTGATAGAAATTTATTCTTTTTTTTGTATCTACATTACCACTAATTAACTACTGTAAAAACCTGCATCTGTTATTTGATCTAATCTTAAATCTTATTTTTAGTCAGCGCTATTAGGAGCTGCAGGTTGGACACTCTAGAGGGCCACATAAATAAACTTCAACAAAAGTGAGTTTAAATATAACTTTATCAGTTTAATCAAATTACTTTTATTTGGATAGAGCCGAATTCAAAGTTATTAAATATTTCGTTTTATGTAGTAGAAATCAAATGGGGAAAAAAACTGCAAACTTTTAATGATTCATCAAAACATCCCAAAGGATTTTTGTCCAGTTTCTAGAGCAAATATTGCAGAAAAAACTAACAAATGTAGCAAAACACAGAGGCTTTATTAAGCCAATAATTCCTTAATATTGATGAAAAGTTCTAGTTCCACAGGCAGATTATTTCACTTCTTGCAAAATATTTCTCCCATGTTAGAAGTGAAATAATCTGCCAGTTTAACTGGAACTTTTTCATCAATATTTTGTATTTATTTACTTAAACTAGATTTGCTGACATGTTGCTTGTAAGTTAGTTTCATTTCATGTTTATTTATATTTGCAGTAGAAACTAGACAGAAATCCTTAGTAACGTTTAGTGTTTTTGCAGTGCAGGAAGTTTCATTAATCGATTTGTGAGTTTGACGCCGCTGCTCTTCACATTCTTCACTTCCTCCCGACGTTCTCTCCGTTAAAACCTGGCAGCTCGCCGTCGCTTCTTAAAGATAAAGGAGACGTTTGCTGTAAACTGGTTCGATGGCTGCATGCGGGACGTAAAGCTCCGCGCACCTCCTGAAAACGAGCGCGCGTTCCGACAGCAGCATCGTCGTGTAAACAATACGGACGCACAACGCAGAAACAAGATGTCGGCTGAAAACTCGCAGAGTCGCGGCGCTGACGTCTACGAAGCGCCGGACGTTCGATCGGTCCGAGAATCCCGACCCGAATGCGCCGGCTCCGCTCGTCTCGTCTGAGGTAATATTACTGACGCGGAAGACGCCATGTTTCATCCAGTCGGCCCGATCCACAGGCCGGCGTCGCTCTTCCGCTCGCCTCCACTGGGGGGCACCAGTCAGGCGCCGTCCATCGCTGGCTTTGATGCTTTTCCTTCTCAGACGGAGGAGGAAGTCTGTTTCTGTCCGACCCGATGGATGATGGGCTGCGTTGGCCATTTGGCGACCGACCTGCAATTGTTTCCGAGGTCCGGCCCAGTCCGGTCCGGTCCGGCGGTGGAGCGCTGCGGGGAGGGGGGCGGGAGGAACGGCGACCTCCGGCTGGCTTTGAGGAGAACCTGCGGCGCCCCGATGACCTCATATCGTCGATGTGCGATCTGCACCGTCTAACCGGGAGAGAAGATCGAGATTTAATCGTCAAAACCAGTCGACTTTAATTGATAGCTGATTCATTGATAAGTGGCCATTTTCTTAAAAAGCTGTTTTCCCTTGTATCATAACGTAAATGTTAAATTATTCAGAAATATGTTGACTAAAAACATTTACGTTATTCTGTGCCAGTTGTACTAAATTCTGACTGAATAAACAAAAAATTCTGGTTTTATCACATTAATAAACTTAGATATATTTATAAAATAACAGACAGAAACATATGATGGAGTATCAGGGGCATAATAAGGAAAAAGAGAATAAAGTAGTAATATTAGAATAAATATTACTACAGGAATAAAGTTGTAATACGTCTGATTTTGTGTCAATTATGTCTCTCTGCTCTCAAGTTACTTATTGAGATGCAATTATTTTGAAATAAGATCACATTTCAGAGTAATGACGGTTTGAACGAGGCCATCATTAGTTCCAGAAAAACAAAAGTTAAATTTTTTCCCCAGCTCCGAACCAAAAGCATCGCTGTGTTAAAATGTGAAGATCGATGTGCTGAACAGCGACGAGCCAAACTGTCCTGCTGAGGAAACGACACATCTGTGAAAACAGACGGACAGCTGCAGTCCGAACTCAAGATGTCAGAACTTATTTCACTGGGTTTATTTGGAGCGTTTTTTAAAGACAGGAAACGAGATTCTATGAGTATCACTGCTTTTAAATGTTCTCTTTTGTTTTGCACTTGTGCATATGAATTAATTAGTTTTATTTTGTAACCAGGCTGCAGTGTGTTGCAGACTTCTGCCCAGGTCCCTCTTGAAAATGAGATCTAAATCTCAATAGGGTTCAATAAAGGAAATAAAACAAAATACAGGAGATTTAAGTCAATAATCCCCAATATTCAAGAAAAAGTTCCAGTTTCACTGAAAACATTTTTCCCATTTTATAAGTGAAAATCTCCCAGTGGAACTGGGATTTTTTTGGCAAGATGTGTTTTTGCAGTGCAGGATACATAAAATGTAAAAAAGAAATGTTCTCGCTAAGTTCTCCAGTATTTAGCAAACAAAAATCATTTTGACAAAACTAACTGACCTGAAACTGATTTAAGTTCAGATAATAACATTAAATTACACTTAAAAACATTATAAGTAAAGCCATCCTTATAATGTGCGTAAGGATGGTTTTACTTACACCGTAAGTGTGAGCGCAGTGTTTATATTTGTTTTTAAATGTTGCAGTGAACGAGAAATAAAAGTGAAAATAAAAGCCGTACCTCCCAAAGCGTGTTCTGTCATGCTCAAACACAACGACTCGAGGCGATTGTTTATGTCCGGCTCTGTCACTGGAAACTGATGATCTGTGGAAAAAACTACATGATTTTCACCAAATAAAAACAACATGAAACAATAAATAACGCAGAATTTAGTCCAATCTCCACATGTCTGACTTATTCAAGTAAAAATGAGAATTTTGATATGAAATACCAGAAAAGCTCGTAATGTTTTACAATTATAGATATATATTATTTATTATCTTACTTATCAATCACTCATCATTATTATGTTTAGAATGGTTATATCAATTGTTATTAGCAGCACAAGTCAATAAATCCTGAATATTGATAAAAATATTTTAGTTCATATAATTAGCACATTTTTAAAATCAATATTAAGAAATTATTGACTTAAATAAACTCCAATATGTTTCTGAAAAGTTACTTTTTCAGTTAGTTTTTTCAAGTGTCTTGAGATATTTGCACTGAAAACAACAAAAATACTTGGTAAGATTTTGTGTTTTTGCAGTGTACGGACATTTAAAAAATCAGTTGTTTTGTTTTTTAGGCACATTTTGATATTGTGAGCTAATTTTTTAGACTAGAAATAAATCTTACAATATAATTAAATTGGGTTTTCTCAGTCAATGTTCAATTGAACTTGTAAAAAGTAGAAGCAGCTTAAACATCTGCTTTTGTTTTATGTTGAAATGCATTTTTTGGCAACAGTTCACATGAAAAAAATAAAAGGAAAAATGGCAGCCTAATACTTTTTTTTATTAATATTAAGGATTTTGTTAAATTATAGCAAGCTCGTTATCTTTCTGAAGTGTTACTTCTAAGTTAGTTTTGTCTTATTTAGACATTTACACTAAAATGTGACAAAAAATGCTTGTTAAATTTGTTTTTGCAGTGTCACAGTCAAATTTCCGGCTCTGCTTTCATATTTTTTATTTTCTGAATCCATCTGTTAGCGGACAGAGCAGAGATACAAACAGAGACGGGGAGGATGTCGCGTTCGCATCAACTCTGGCTCCGACCCAGAAGCAGCCAGGCTGTTATGTGTGCATGACTCTGCAGTCGTCAAAGGACGAGAGGAGCGATGGCAGAAACGGAGGAAAAAGAGAGCGAGTCAGGAAGGGAAGCCAGGGAGCCCCGTCCTCGCTGCACAAAGGGCCTCATTGTGAATCTGACCACTCTTTCCTCCCCTCTCTTCCTCTCTCCCTCCCTCCGCCGCCTTGCTTCCCCGCTCTCCGCTTGCTTTTCTTTTTTTAAATCCGTTTTGTCCTCCTCGTTCTAAAAGGAGGGAGGCCGAGTCGCTGCTATAACTGTCCTCTGTTCCTGTGGGACGGAGGTTACTGCAGGTCACTCCGTCTGGCACAGGCAGCCGCTGCGACCCACGGAAAACACACTGTACACTGCAAAAACACAACCTGAAAAACTGCTGCTGGATGTCTCGTGTAGAGCAGATAAATTTCCTGTAATTAAACGGGAAACTTTACATTTTGGATGGACTCGCATGTGGTTTCTCCTCGTGGAAACATAAAACTAGACTAAATTAGCTCAGATAAAGGAATGAAATAAGACATGAATTTCAGTGTTTTTGTTTGTATGTGGTCCAGTTTTAAGTGTAAATGTCTTAATACACAAAAACTAACTTAAAAAATACATTCCCATAGGATGTAGAAGCTTATTTCAGGTAAATAATTCCTTTATATTGATAAAAAAAAAAAACAGTACTAGTAATTATTGAAAAAAAGTAAAATAAAATAATCTGCCAGTGGAATTAATACTTTTTAAAAATCAATATTAAAATTGATTTAATAATAATTGACTACTAAAGTAGTCAATTATTTACTTAAAAAACCTCCCCTATCTTGTTTAAAGGTTACTTATAAGTTAGCTTAGTCTTTTTTTCAAGTGCACTAAAATATTTGCATTAACAACTGAACCAAAAATACTTGGTAAGATTTAGTTTTTTAGCAGAATCCTTAGTTCCTTATATTTCAGATTCTGTTTATGAATAATCCCATCAAAATGGTCAAAAATTAGAAATAAATGACAATATCCAGTCGACCGAAATGGAAAAAGCTAATTTCATTCAAAATCTAAGCTGGTTTTTCATATTATTTGATTACAGTAAACACTGAAAACCAGTCGTTTATCAGTTGTTTGTTTTTAAACCACTGGCTTATCTTTTATTTATTGTTTTTATGTTTGTAGTGTATCCCTGAGGTTATGGGTCAAGTTAATTTTGAATAATACAAGAGCTAAAGTAGTCACTTCCTCCGGATCTATTAATAACCGAGTCGGCCATTTTGGCTGTCTGTCTGTCTGCTTTGCAAAGGGTCACATAAATCCAGCTCCTCACCGGCCTGCTGGAACGTAACCATGGTTTGCGGCGTGGTGTGGACCGGCAGCGACCGTGTCCTCTGCACGGAGCTGTGGGTCCGACTCGGCATGCTGTTACTTCCTCCCGGGTTGGCAAACCAGGGGCCCTGAGGAGAAACATTTAACGTATCACTGATTTAAAACTCCAGCTGGCCAATAAATCACTAACAATGCATATCGTGATAAATCCATGAATCAAATAAAACAGCGTAGTAGCTCCTCACACGTTACCAATCAACAGGTAATGATTTTATAAATCTCTCACAGCGAGGATGGAGGAATCAACCAACTCTCTCACTCTTTGGTTACCTAGCAATGACCTGCTGAGTAACTGCAGGTTGGCAGTCCTGCAGCGGGTCACTGAGCAGTAACTGCAGCGGGTCACTGAGCAGTAACTGCAGCGGGTCTCTGTTCAGTGACTGCAGCGGGTCACTGTTCAGTGACTGCAGCGGGTCACTGTTCAGTGACTGCAGCGGGTCACTGAGCAGTAACTGCAGCGGGTCACTGAGCAGTAACTGCAGCGGGTCTCTGTTCAGTGACTGCAGCGGGTCACTGAGCAGTAACTGCAGCGGGTCACCGAGCAGTGACTGCAGAGGGTCACCGAGCAGTAACTGCAGCGGGTCACTGAGCAGTGACTGCAGCGGGTCACCGAGCAGTGACTGCAGCGGGTCACTGTTCAGTGACTGCAGCGGGTCACTGAGCAGTAACTGCAGCGGGTCACCGAGCAGTGACTGCAGCGGGTCACTGAGCAGTAACTGCAGCGGGTCACTGAGCAGTAACTGCAGCGGGTCACCGAGCAGTAACTGCAGCGGGTCACCGAGCAGTGACTGCAGCGGGTCACCGAGCAGTGACTGCAGCGGGTCACCGAGCAGTGACTGCAGCGGGTCACCGAGCAGTAACTGCAGCGGGTCACCGAGCAGTGACTGCAGAGGGTCACCGAGCAGTGACTGCAGCGGGTCACTGAGCAGTAACTGCAGTGGGTCACTGAGCAGTAACTGCAGCGGGTCACCGAGCAGTGACTGCAGCGGGTCACCGAGCAGTGACTGCAGAGGGTCACCGAGCAGTGACTGCAGCGGGTCACCGAGCAGTGACTGCAGCGGGTCACCGAGCAGTAACTGCAGCGGGTCACCGAGCAGTAACTGCAGCGGGTCACCGAGCAGTAACTGCAGCGGGTCACTGAGCAGTAACTGCAGCGGGTCACTGAGCAGTAACTGCAGCGGGTCACTGAGCAGTGACTGCAGCGGGTCTCTGTTCAGTGACTGCAGCGGGTCACTGTTCAGTGACTGCAGCGGGTCACTGAGCAGTAACTGCAGCGGGTCACCGAGCAGTGACTGCAGCGGGTCACTGAGCAGTAACTGCAGCGGGTCACCAAGCAGTGACTGCAGAGGGTCACCGAGCAGTAACTGCAGCGGGTCTCTGTTCAGTAACTGCAGCGGGTCACTGAGCAGTAACTGCAGTGGGTCACTGAGCAGTAACTGCAGCGGGTCACCGAGCAGTGACTGCAGCGGGTCACCGAGCAGTGACTGCAGCGGGTCTCTGTTCAGTGACTGCAGCGGGTCACTGAGCAGTAACTGCAGCGGGTCACTGAGCAGTGACTGCAGCGGGTCACTGAGCAGTGACTGCAGCGGGTCACTGAGCAGTGACTGCAGCGGGTCACTGAGCAGTAACTGCAGCGGGTCACTGAGCAGTAACTGCAGCGGGTCACCGAGCAGTAACTTGCCTCAAAACTGCTTAGAAATAAAAAACAACGGCGTGGAGAGAAAATTTGATGAAACAGAAGAGATACTTTCCTCACTTAAGTGTCTGGTAATATTTCAGACACTTAAAAAATAATTATTGATTAGTTTTAGTATGAAACAATTATATTGTGATATGTTGTTCAGCAATATTAAAAACACAGTAACAGGATTACATTCAGACAAACCCCAGAATTATCCAAATGGTTGTTTCCCCCAAAGACTGGTAAAATAAAACTTATCAAAACTTTAGAATCAATAGAAATATTAAAAATAATTTTAAAAAGTTAGACCAGATATTTCCGGGCCAAAGCAGGTTGTTCATAACTTCTGGTTCCAAAAACAGATTGCTAATCCCAGATTAGTTGCCTTATTTTGTGTTTTTTCACTGCAAAAACAAAACCTTACAAAGTATTTTGATCCAGTTTTTTGTTCAAATGTCTTAGTACACATGAAATAAAACAAAACTAGCTTACAAAAAACATTTCAGCAAGATGTAGAAGCTTGTTTTAAGTCAATAATTCCTTAATATTGATGAAATAGTACTACCTGTAAGTGAATTAATCTGCCAGACATTTTTCCCATATTATAAGTTAAATTGTCTTGTTCCAGTGGCAGATTATTTCACTTAAATAACCAATACTTTTTAATTAATAATAAGGATTTTATTTTCCTATTTCTTACTGAAAAGTTATGGTTATTTGCACTGGAATAACCAGATTTTTTTAATCTTGTAACGTGAAAAACTTTGTTCTTATAAGTGAAATAATTAGTCATTTTTTAATCAACACTGAGGAATTATTTACTAAAACTCCTATATCTGCTGAAAAGTGATTGTAAGTTAGTTTTGTTTTAATTAAAGTGTACTAAGATATTTGCACTAAAAACTAGACCAAAAATACCTGGTAAGATGTTGTGTTTTTACTACTTCATTTGTTTTACTACTTATTCAGCAAATTGCTGCTTTGCTGCAACATCTGCAGATGAAAAACTTTACTGGTGGAAGCAGGAAACATCGTTTTCTCCTGATTCTCCTCCCTACATCAGGTAGCCCTAATGATGGGTTTGAGAGTAACCTGCACATTATCCAATCCCTCACCGCCCTGCAGCGCCCACAGCCAGCGAAAAACAGGAAATGCCTGTGCACTGTTCTCACTGTATCTGAGCCGCGCACTCTCTCTCTCTCTCCTATATATACGCTGCACCTCGATCGCCCCTCCTCCTAACAGCTACAGTGACTCACAGCTTTCCCTGCCAGCCGACTTTTCTCCCTTTTTCTCTCCTGGCACTTCCACTCCAAAGACAAGAAGGAGGAGCTGAGGTATTTCCTGCCATTGTGAGGATGATGAGTAGAAGGAGGGAGGGGAAAAGGAAAAAGGGGAAAAAAAAACGCTCTGAAATGGGTCGGATCAGACCAAAATGAGGCAGAACGGGCCTGAAATCTCCTGCACAGCTCCGCCCGTTTCCAGTGTTGACGCAGAGTCTCTGGTATGTGGAGCGACCTGCCTACGAGCTCCATTCACACACACACTACTCATCCTGCTTTTCCTCATCATGGAATAATGACAGAATAACTATTTCAGGGAGAAGACGTGCTGAGCCCCGGCGGCTGTAACCATCCTGGAATGTCTCGCTGCTCAGTTCGGGAATGTTCCACTTTAACGTCAAAGATACGACTTCAGAACGAAGCACTTTAACTCTAAAGCTTCTGAACGCGTCTTTCCCTCATCACATATACAGAGTTCCCATAACGCTGTAGTGATCCACACCGCTCAACCGCCATCTTGGTAGGCAAGCGCAGCGCAAAACCTAGATGAACCCTGGCTTCCCTGAACAACAAAAAGAAAATATGGATTCGGCCCACATCTCCCTGCTGGAGGGCAAAAAGCTGCTGGCTAACGAAGACAACCACTCCCTGACCCCCATCTGAATTTTGTGCGTCATCATAGTCACATGTCTGCTTGGTAAGATTTTGTGTTTATGCAGTGTAACTAATAACCTGCAGTGTGGAAGTTGAAACTGGTGCAAAAATAGAGCCAGCATTAGTCAACGCTATCACTAAAGCTAAGCTAACATAAAAACAGCCAAAAAAAGCTGAATAACTCCTCCATCCTCCACAGTCCAGTTTGACTTACATGCCTGCCCTGTTTGGGACCGGTTGGGGTGCTGCTGGAGCTGCGGGGTGTGGGCCCCAGCAGCCCCCCGCTGCCCAGTAAACCCAGTCTGGCTCCCGGTAAGCTTCTGGAAGGCATATGGAACTGGTGGAGGCTGCGCCTGGCGGACACGCTGCTCCCGACGCAGCTGGTGGAGGGGAGAGAGTTCGACTGTCCAAAACGGCTGCAGGACACAAGAAACGCCCGACAAAAGTCAGAATGAGATCAGAAAAGTTGTAAAGCTACTTAAAAAACAGCATCACCAGTATTGTCACAAATAGTGGAAAAATGGCCAGTTTCTGAAAACGCACCTCCTCTGAGGCCGGTAACCCGCAATGTCAAGGAGGTTTTTCCTCGGGATCGACCGGAAAAGCCTCTGGACCTGCTGCTTCCATGACAACAACCTCTTCTTTTGCGTCTCTGTGAAGGACTGCCATGCACACAGAGAGAAGAAATAATCAAACTCTCCAAGTAGTTTTGGCTATTTTTTAGTGCAAATATGTTTGCAAACTTGAAATAAGACAAAACATTTCATACCTCATGGATGAGACATTTATCGATGAGCTGCAGGTAGGAGCTGATGTTGTCCTCATCCGACCGCGACACCAGCAGCTGGGTGCAAACTGAGGGCAGTGTGAAAACAAAACATGAGACGGGGGTGTCCAAAGTTTCTTTCTTAAACTTGGCTAAATATAGCAAACATTTTCAAACAAAGTGACCCAAATAAACTTTTTAAGCCAAGGAAAAAAATCTCCTATGGTGTAATAAGGCCATTGTAGAAAAAAAGTAGTAACTTTCTATGAACACACTTGGACTTTTTGAAAGAAATAAAAAAAACAAGAAAATTTCTGAGCTCCAAAAGGCGTCGAAAAAAAAAATTGAGTTAAATGTTTTACATTTTCTTAAACAAAAAATTCTGACTTTGAAAAGCAAAAAATTTGCTAGAGAAAAAAACATAACATTTCTGAGTTTTTGGCTGAAATATGCTCCTTTCCCCCGCACCCCCCATCCTAATGTCCTAATGTTGGATCCACAATAAACTTTGGGATATTTTACTTGCTTGGTTTTAGCTAATTAAATATCCTCGGGTTGAATTTTTTGGCCTCCTGCGGCTACGTTTGACTCTACAATTTTAGCCCAGGTGTCTAAAAGTTTGTACACCTCTCACATAACTCTTCCACCTCCATGTGAAACCACCTGAACAGGTGAATGATGCTCACCTTTCCCCATGACTCGGGTGAACTGGCCCGGCAGATCCCCCTCTGCGATGACGCTGCTGCCGGACTCGGCCTCTCCTCCACCGCCTCCAGGCAGGCTGGAGTCAGAGCTCTTGCTCTGCGGACTCAACAGGGGGCGCTGCAGAGACGACTCCTCCCCTCCGCTGAAGGCCTTGATGGGAGTTGTGATCATCAGGTGGAGTTCCTGCAGCGGCGTGCGAAGATTCCCGCCCTCCAAGACGTCCTGGAAACAGGAAGTAAACATTCACCAATCAAACTGTGATGTCTAGTCAAGTAGGAGTAGCACTACTTTGGTGCTGTGGTGGCGCAGGGGCAAAGCGCAACCCACGTATTGAGGCTTTAGTCCTCATGGCAGTGGTCGCAGGTTCGATTCCCGGAACCTGATGTGCCACATGTCTTTCCCCTCTTTCATTAGCCTGTTTCCTATCAAACTACTTTCAAATAAAGGCCACTTTATTATAAAGTTAAGTGGAAAATTTGGCATTTCAAGGACAAAATGACAATAATTCACATAAGGCACAAAAAATAAAGAAAATATTTCCAAATTAGTTTCTTTCAATAAAAAATATGAAACTTATGAAACAAAAACTGCAGGTGTGTCTGTCAGGTGAATTTTTTGTTGAAACATGTTTGTTTTCCATTCAGTGGGTAGAAAATTCAGAAGTTTTATGGCAATAAGAGCAGCCATACTTCATAATAAAATTACTCAAGTAAAAATATAAAGGAACGCATAGTGAAAATACTCCTAAAATTTTTTGTTTTTTTTCCAAAAAAGTTACTCAAGTAAATGTAACTGAGTAAATGTAACTAGTTACTACCCCACTCTGATAAAGATGTACGTTGTATAATTGCGCCTCCATTTGCAGTCGTTTTCATGTATAAATATAAATGTTGAGTTGGGGGCGTGGCCAGCAGCTCATTTAAATTTAAAGTGACAGAAGGCTCTAAAACAATCTCATTATGCAACCATGTATTTGTGCTAAAAGGGTAGTGAACATGTTTTGTATCTCCCAACCCTAACCAGTTCTAGTAAGCACAGTGGGCCACCTTTAACTTGTTAAATGAAGACATTTGCCTTGACATCGAGCCATGTTGCAACAGTGCTGCTGCGAAAGGTTACGCCTGAAATTAGCTTCTTCAACTCGGTCCCTCCTTCAGCCTGACCTTTAAAGTTGTTGTTCTGCTTTGAAGGGTTATGAGTAAAGAGGGAGAATGAGTTTCAAAACCTTCCCTTCACAGCAAAACAAAACCTTACCAAGTGTTTACTGTCTAGTTTCAAATGAAAAATTATTAGTTCACTTGAAATAAAACAAACTAACTTGCATGTACCTTTTCAGCAGGATAAAGTAGTTTGTTTTAACGCAATAATTCCTTAATATTGATGAAAACGTTTGAGTTACACTGGCAGATTATTTCACTCATAACAAAAATGTCTCATTATTAGTGAAATAATCGGCCAGTTGAATTACATTTTGTATCGATATGAAAACAAACTTCTTTCTATCTAAAAAGTTGTTTATAAGTTAGTTTTTATTAATGTATATATTTGTTAAGTTTTCAAAATACAGAATACATAAATCATACACAAAAGTATGAAACATTGTCATCTCCATTTATCAACATCTTTCCTAAGATTATCGACTTTTTCTAAAAAGTTAAATTTGTTTGTGGTCTTTTGGCAAAATAACTCCAAGATATTTCAGTTTGTCAGTTATCTCAAGTAACAGGTTATCTAAGAATTCAGAAGTAAGGTTTGCACCTAATGACATAAATTCAATCTTCTCCCAGTTAATAGTATGACCTGAAATCTCAGCGCATGACTGAATAAGGTCTAGGAGAATTGGCACTGACTGCTCAGGATGTGATACAAAAACAACGTCATCAGCATACAATGAAATGTGATGGACAATGTTTTCGAATACTTTGTGGCTCCATGGTGACCGCAAAGAGCAGAGGACTAAGGCGGCAACCCTGAAGGTTCCCGGCTGTAGCAGAACGGGCTCTGACAGAGGAAGATGGTGGGGCATACATTGTTTTAATCCAAGACACAAATTTACTATCAAACCCCGATTCCTCTAGCACAGTCAGGATGTTAGGCCACTCCAATTGGTCAAATGCCTTTTCAGCATCTAGGCAAAGAACAGATTCCTCAAACTTTCTGTCACATTTATGACGCATAATGTTCATTAACCGTCTGATATCAAAAAATGAAAACCTTTTAGGGACAAGTTAGTTTTGTGTAACTTACAAGTGAAATCTTTCTAAAAGTTACTTTTTCTGACGATATAGCAGTTTGTTTTAAGTAAATAAATCCTTAATGTCAATTTTAAAAAGGACTAATTCCATGGGCAGATTATAGAACTTATAATAGACATTATTCCCATGTTATAAATGAAACTGGTGCATTTTCCATCAATTTTAATTAATAAATGACTTTAAATGAGCTCCTATAGCTTGGTGAAAAGTTACTTACAAGTTAGTTTTATCTTATTTCCAGTGAACTAAGATATTTGGACTAGAAACCCGGCAAAAACTCCTGGTCAGTTCTTCTGTTGTTTGGCCATTTACAGGCTTGTCAACTTAAACACAAAGGCCCTAACTACCAAAATAAAGTCAAAGCCAGATTACTTTTAATTTCTTGCATGAAAAAACAGTTTCTGACCTTTTCCAGGCTGCGCAGAAGGTTCTGCCTTTCTTTGAGTTTCTGAATGCTGATTACAATCTTGTGTCGAGCTCCTTTAGTGACTTTCTGCAGAAAAAAACAGATTAAGATTACAAGACATCAAGAAAAAGCTGAAAAATAATATTTTAATTGGCAGCTATTGGTAGCTCATCCACAGCAGCAGGATGGTGATGATATTTAGAGACGACTTGGTGTGGATGTTCATCAGAATCGGGCAGAAAGAACTGGCAGCACCTGGAGGAAGCGGACTGCTTCCTGGACAGCTGTAGCTGAATTAAATTTAGCTCCATCCCGCTTTTAATAATAGATTCCTCAATGCCTTCATCCACAAGGAAAGCAGCTGCTATATTTGTTCTGTGACAGAAGCAACTTTTCAAGTCAGTAGCCAGACAGCATTAATGCTTGGAAGATATTTTTATTATAGTGAGAGAACAGTAAGAAGAATTTGGATGCAATGGGAACTAAATGAGCGATTCCTGAATGATATGGATAAAACTATTGATTAGATGTCAAGTGGCATTAAAACACAGATTTTTCACAAATAACTACAGTTATCACTGCAAAAAACACAAAATTAGTGCAAATATATTAAACTTGAAATAAAACAAACATAACTTACCAGTAACTTTTCAGCAATATATTAAGTAATTCACTCCTTAATATTCATAAAAGTACCAGTTCCACTTGCAGATTTTTTTACATTTGTAACATAGGAAAATTGTTTTTAAATGTTTTTATAAGTGAAAAAACTGCCAGTGAAACTTGAACTTAAGGAATTATTTACTTGAAATGAGCTCCTACATCTTGCTGAAAGGTTTCTTATAAGTTTTTCAAGTGAACCAAGATATTTGTACTAGAAACTGGACAATTATACTTGGTAGGATTTTGTGTTTTTGCCACGTAAACGTTAAAATGTATAGTTTTTCTGAGCGTTCACCAACCTGTGCTTCTAGTTGTTCTTCCGTCAGTGACATCATCTCATCGTAGGTCATTGTGGAGAAGAGTACAGCGTACTTATGGAGACGGAGACTCTTCAGCCATCCAGGAACATCTGTGGAGAAACCAAGTCTGTCAAATCTTTTTCATAGATCTGGAGACATTTACAAGAACAGATCCGTCAAAGCGTTGATCTCAAAGCAGATTCAAGAAACAGCCAAGTTAGCCAAGTCAGAAGGTTAAACAAACTTCAATCATCAGTATCTTACACATATAAGTGCCCCAAGTCCATTAAAAATAAATGAATTGTTTTCATCCATTAAAACAATGGCAACCATTTTGAAAATATAACACAAGATCAAGAAGAAATATATAATTTCTGTGGTTCAAAACACAGGCAATGATCAGACACTAAATACATGTCAGATCTCCAAATCAGCACCTTATTGGTGATTTTAGTGCAAAAATGGCTGCTGTCTTAAATTTTTCAATGGCTAATTTTTCTTTTCCAAAAAGCTAGTCGCTGGGAACATCTGAGCCACATTAGGTGCTTGTATCCTCATGTAAAATATTCTGCTTTGGTCACCCCTCATCCCACTGCCGTCCTCATGGAAGGAATTGCGATGTAGACTTGAACTGCCTCCTAAGCCGCCGTCATCCAGGTGTTCGCTGCCCCCACTGCCCGAAGATGCAATGCTGCTCTGGGGGAGAGAGGCGCATGGTCTGGGGCGGGGCCTCTGGACGTCCGAAGGTCCTCTTGGGACAGCCAGACGTGGCCCAGAGGCTGGTTGTTGGGGCCGCTGATGGGGGGCGTAAGGGACACGGAGCGCTTTAGGGGACTGTGCTGCTGACTTCCACCTCCGCTTGAAAGAACTGTAGAAGAAAAATATACTCTACGTTTACACTCGCAGGTAAAAATGACTGCAGACCAATGCGCAATTATGCAAGCGTACGTCTTTAAAAAGCAGAAGTGGAGCTTCAACAAAAATGCAGCAAGTTGTTTCTGGATGGAAAACCAACAACTTTCAGCAACTATCGTACGGTAAAACGAGCTGACCAAACGTGCTACAGCTCCACTTGGGTTGCTAGGTAATGGCTCAGTGCCCAAATTGGGAGGTTTGAGAAACGACTCATTTTCCAGGCACCAAAAAACATTGAGTTGTTGCCAAATGAAGGCTGCATGTTTGTTTTTACACGCTGGCAGCTCCTAGAAACAGTTGAGATCTAAATAGAAGTATAAAACTGCAAAAAGTAAATTTTGCGTAATAAGTCCCCTTAAACATGGAGGTTTCAGATTGACAATTTTTAATCTCTGTAGATCCTCCAGATTCAAGGGTGCCAAAACAGATTTGGTTTCTTGTTAACAATTATTGTCTTGACTTAGTTTTGGATCATCATTCAAAGACTTTGTAAGGATCATGTGGTTCAAGATGCGGTGAAATGAAAATGAAGCTAACAGCAACACTCACTGTACAATTATGTCAGCTAATAATCATCTGACCACCAATATTTAATTTCGAATCACCAGTTGGTCCTTTAATAAATAAACATAAAAACAAAACAATGATCTATCTTCTCCTGATGCAGCAGAACACTGAATTCCTCAGTTTTGGCCAATAGCCAGAATGGGAACACATTAAAAATCTTCAGACCTGAAATTCAGAGTCACATAAAGACAGTTACAAAATCGGCCTTCTATCACTTGAATAACATTTTCAGGCTTAAAGAACCAATATCCTATGCATTTATCATTAGAAGTTGATCCAGAAAGCTGCTGCTAAAACCAGGAAGCAAAAGCACAAGACCCAGTTCTAAAGTCCTTCCACCGGCTCCCTGGAGCCCAGAGAATAAACTTTAAGATACTGCAGTTAGTTCATAAATCACTGAAGAATTTAGAAGCACAATACATTAAAGATCTGCTGTTGTATTAACCTTTCAGGCCTCTCAGGTCTTTTGCTTCTGGTTCTGTTCTGCACCCTGAGAGCCAAAAATGGAGAAGGAAAATTCAGCTTCTATGCACCACAAATCTGGAACAAACTTCCAGAAAACTGCATAACAAATGAAACACTGAGTGCCTTTAAATCTCGACTAAAAACCCACCAGTTTAGAGTTGACCAATAATAACTGGAACATTGATCAACATATGTGGCATATGGTGATATATGATGGTACTGGACAAAATGTGTGTCTGGTTTCAAAATTTGTCACTTTATGATGTTTTTACAACCATTTATATATTTTTTTAATGCAAATCACTTTGAATTGCCATGTTTCCGCAATATGCCATACAAATAAACTTGACCTATTGATTACTGTTGTTACATCTCTAAAACAGGACAACCAGACTCCCGCCTTATATCATTCATGGAGTTAATCATTTTCCAGATTTTCCCTAAGGCTGATTTTTCTGTTCTTCCTGCTCTTAAACACACCTTGATGCTGCGCTGATACAGCGTCGGCTGAAGGTGAAAGCTGATTGGCTGCCGCCTCTCTGCACTGACACGTGATTTATATATCCGACTTTGACCCTGCTTCTACTTTCAGGAAATGAATCTCACACAGTCACTGTGACTGAGAGCAGAAATGGAGCAGAATCCGATTGACCCAGAAACGTTCTCCTGTTTGATCTGTCTGGATCTACTGAAGGATCCGGTGACTACTTCCTGTGGACACAGCCACTGTATGAACTGTATTAAAAGCCACTGGGATTAAGAGGATCAGAAGAGGGATATATACCTGCCCTCGGTGCAGGGAGACATTCACACCGAGGCCTGTGCTAAAGAAGAACACCATGCTAGCAGCTTTAGTGGAGCAGCTGAAGACGGCTGAACTCCAAGCTGCACCTGCTGACCACTGCTATGCTGGACATGAAGATGTGGCCTGTGATTCCTGCACTGGAAGAAAACTGAAGGCCATCAAGTCATGCTTAGTCTGTCTGGCCTCTTTCTGTGAGAAACACCTTCAGCCTCATTATGATTCAGCTGCTTTTAAGAAACACAAGCTGGTGGAGCCGTCCAAGAACCTCCACAAGAACATCTGCTCTAAGCATGATAAGTTATTGGAGATCTTCTGCCGCACTGATCAGAAGTGTATCTGTTATCTCTGCACCATGGATGAACATAAAAGTCATGACACAGTCTCAGCTACAGTAGAAAGGACTGAGAGGCAGAGAGAGCTGGAGGAGAGACGAGGAAACATCCATCAGAGAATCCAGGACAGAGAGAAAGATGTGAAGCCGCTTCAACAGGAGGTGGAGGCCATCAATCGCTCTGCTGATAAAACAGTGGAGGACAGTGAGAAGATCTTCACCCAGTTGATCCGTCTCCTCAAGAAAAGAAAGTCTGAGGTGAAGCAGCAGATCAGATCCCAGCAGGAAACTGAAGTGAGTCGAGTCAAAGATCTTCAGGAGAAGCTGCAGCAGGAGATCACTGAGCTGAAGAGGAAAGACGCTGAGCTGGAGCAGCTCTCACACACAGCCAGTTTCTCCTCAACTACCCCTCACTGCCAGCACTCAGTGAGTCCACACACTCATCGAGCATCAAGATCCGTCCTCTGAGACACTTTGAGGACGTGACAGCAGCTGTGTCAGAGCTCAGAGACAAACTACAGAACGTCCTGAGAGACTCATGAACAAACATCTCTCTGATGGTCACTGCGGTGGATGTTCTACTGCCAGAACCAGAACCAAAGGACAGAGCTGGATTCTTAAAATATTCACGTGAAATCACTCTGGATCCAAACACAACAAACACAAAGCTGGTACTATCAGAGGGGAAGATTAAGGTGACAAGGACTAATCATTCTCAGTCTTATTCTAATCATCCAGACAGATTCACTTATTGGGGTCAGGTTTTGAGTAGAGAGAGTCTGACTGGACGATGTTACTGGGAGGTGGAGTGGAGCGGGACATGGGTTCATATATCAGTTGCATATAAGACTATCAGCAGAGCAGGAAGTGAGAATGAATGTGGATTTGGATATAATGACAAATCTTGGGCATTACAATGTTCCCAAAACAGTTTTAAATTTGGTCAGAACAACATCTGGACCTCCAGCTCAGGTCCAGTTTCCTCCAGAGTCAGAGTGTATCTGGATCACAGAGCAGGTATTCTGTCCTTCTACAGCGTCTCTGAAACCATGACTCTCCTCCACAGAGTCCAGACCAGATTCAGTGAACCGCTACTAGCTGGAGTTTGGGTTGGTACTGGAGGCTCTGCTGAGTTCTATAAACTGAAATAGATTTCCTCTCTTCTCTCCGGTTGTTGATCAGGTTAATGGTTCTGTTGTCTTTGCTCTGCTGTTCTGTTCTTAATTTTTCTGCTTTAATTGTAGTTCTCTGTGTTCTAGGAGCCATGGAGGAAATCCCTGCTGATGTTTCATTTTTACAGACATAAAAATGTAAACATTTGTGGATGCTTAGTTTTACCTTTATATTTGCATTAATGTATTTTGATGTTCTGGTTTCTCATGTTGTTCTTGTTTAAATCTGTTAACATTGAAGTGAACTGAAGTTGCTTCTTTTAATCTAACATCAATTTAGAACTGATGCTGTTTTCTTCTTGATTCTTTAGGAGGCTGAATACTTTTGCACAAAGCATTTAAACATTTTTCATTTGTAAAAATTGTTTTGAATTATATGTAATTTTCTATCTGCTTCACAGTTGTACACAACACTGTGTTGGTCTTTTCAATCAAATACATTTACATTTGTGGTTGTAATGTGACAATCCAGAACGCTGCTGCTGGAGTTCTGACTAAAACCAGGAAGATGGAGAACATGACTTCAGGGAGCTCAGACAATAGACTTTAAAATGGACAAACATCTCACTGGTAGTGATTGAGGTGGACAATTTACAACCAGAACCAGAAGCAAGCAGAGCTGGATTTTTAAAATGTTCATGTGAAATCACTCTGGATCCAAACACAGCAAACACAGAGCTGGGACTGTCAGAGGGGAACAGGAAGGTAACACAGACTTATTCTAGTCATCCAGACAGATTCACTGGTAAGTCTCAGGTTCTGAGTAGAGAGAGTCTGACTGGACTGGGAAGAAGAGAAGAGAGAGTTGTGGGTTTGTGTAACAGTCGCATACAAGAATATCAACAGAGCAGGACGTTTATTTGGATGTAATGACAAATCCTGGGTATTACAATGTTCCCAAAACAATTTTAAATTTGGTCACAACAACATCTGGACCTCCATCTCAGTTTCCTCCAGAGTCAAAGTGTACCTGGATCACAGAGCAGATATTCTGTCCTTCGACAGCGTCTGTGAAACCATGACTCTCCTCCGCAGAGTCCAGACCAGTTTTTTTTTATGTTTTATGATATAAAGTAATGTGAAATGCTTTTGGGTTGAAATTAGCTCATCATTCATCGTTGTGTTAGATTAGCTAATAGCAGCGGCAGCTAATCTACCTCAGCAATCTCTTGTTGAAAATGCCAAAATAAACATAAAGCCTGAAAACATAAAACCGTAACAGCCTGAAAGTTCTGCTGTTTGCATGGGAAATGTTTGTGTTTTTTAGGTGTTGAATCCTGAGACATTAGTGGGGCTGTTGTCAATCAGTCGCTATGGCAACAAATCTGTGTGACACAGAGAGTGAGAAAAAAATAAGAATATGATTCGAATATTTGAGTTTTTCAACAGTTTTTTCCATTCCTGTGATGCACTGCACTAAATTAATACCTACATCTCCAGGTTTCATTTTCTTAAGGAATTGTTCTACCGCAGCAACGCAGCTATGCATCATGGAAAAGAATCGGATGTAAACAATAACATCTAACGATTCTGTCCAAATAAACTGGGAATTAGGTCTGGCAGATAACATAAAGATGAAAATGTACATCTTTTCTGCAAGTGTCCAAACCTACAGACAGTCATGCACAGTGACAGATTTCCTGTAAAAACAAAACAAAAAAACAAATAAAAGACATTGCATCCTGGAGACAACTCGAGGGGGGTAAACAGGTTAAAAACGGAGCCAAAGAGCTTTTTGTGTCGCCTCTCTGACTGGGTCGACTGCCGCCAAACACTCCAGTCTCTCCTCCTGAGTCCTATATGTGGTCCTCTTACTGTTGGCGCTATGTATAGGGCATCATGAAGACTGTCTAAAATAGATGCCCAGCTAACATTTCAAGTTCCAGTCCCTAAATATTAGCTATTTTCTCTAAATACAGTCTGCCACAAAGGATGCCTTACAAGGGAACGGACGGTTGGTATGCGCTGCTGTGGCTCCGACTGAAGCTGGTCGGTTAAATCAGAGTTTCTCAAACTTTTTCAGGCTGAGGACCATTTAACTTGAAATTCCCCGCAACAACACAACATCTTAATAAGATCTTTAAACTCATTTATTATTGTCTTCTTTTCTTAATGCATGCTGTTTTGTTAATATAACTGGCCACAACAATACCTTGAACAGGTATACTTGGGCAATTTGAGCTATTTAAAGATTTTGGAAGTGTGGAGTCTTAACTTTCCGATGATGTCAAACACATAATTTAAAAAGAAGTTTAGTTGTGTGAATTAATATACTTTTAAGGCTACCTGTAATAGGGATGAACAACATATCAGCACCAACATTAGTATTGGCCGACAGTCCTTTTTTAACATATTGGTATCGGCCCGATAAATAAAACTGGGTCAATATGAAGAATGTTGTTTTTTTTCTGGTGGAGTTTTTTCCCTAATACTGTCAAAACAGTAGTGAAATAAATATAATATCAGTAAGTACCCGTTATCGATCGTGACAGCTGAATATAAATTTGGATATCTCATTAACGGCATAAAATTGTTCAAAAGAATAAAATTCAACTTTCTTGATTCAACTTCCTTCGATCATGTAAGTAACATGTAACCGTTACATGTAAGTAACCCTGGAGTTATTTTCTTTCCACCGAAATCTTCAGTTTTTCTTTTGAGTGACCTGGTTTTAAGCCACTTATCCATTATTATTTCTTAAACAACTCTGTGGTAAAGTAAATGTACATGTCGCACTTTGAGCTCATGTCACAGCAAATAAACAGTTGTTTACGTGCAGTACCTTGTGGACTGCTAGGGGGCACCACAGTTTGAGAAAGACTGTTCTAGATGATGTGATGGGACAATAACCTAACACAATGCTGATCAATCAGATACTGGGTATTTTCCAATAATAATTGGTAAAAGTAACTTTATCCTAGTTGTTTTCTGCTCGCCATCCAAACCAACAGGGTAAACTCCAGTTTATCAGTTGTGAAATCCTGAGGTTTTCGTCTGGTTCCGAGGCGGCAAGAGGCCCAGAATCCAAGAGTGAGACGGGTTTTAAATGCGCATTTATTTATAAACCTCAGCTGTTTCTTTCATCTTCCAGAAAAAGAAAGGGAAAAAAATCCACAGAGCCCTTGCATTCATGTCTGGAAATATCCTGCGCTGACCATAGTTATGCTGAATTTCAACAGCCCTTCCCTGCCGGTTTGTCGTCTTCATGTGGACGCCATGTAGCTGCTGTGTGGGTTTGTTGAGGGAGCCGCTGGTCTGAACTGTCCAGTGTGTGTTTACTGTGCCGACTATTTCAGTTTGGTGTTTTGATTAAACTCCAGGAAGTTTCAAACCTCTGGAAGTGACTAAAAATAAGCAGGGCTGGGTAGTAATTAGTTACATTTTTTTTTGAGAAAAAAAATTTATTTATAGAAGTATTTTTACTACACTATACTTTTTAATTTTACTTGAATAATTATATTATGAGGAGGCATCACTACTCTTACTAGAGTAACATTTCTGGATTCTCAAAAACAAACATGTTTTAACCAAAAATTCACAGACATACACCTGCAGTGTTGGTTCGTTTTCAGCAAAACATAGGAGTTTGTTTTAAGTCAGTGATTAAAACAAGCACATAATAATTAATATTAACTAAAAGGTTCTGGTTTCACTAGCAGATTATCTCACTTATAACAAGACATTTTCCATATTAAGTTACAAAAAAACTTTTAATCAATACTGAACACTTAAAACAAGGGCCTTCAAAGTGCGGCCTGGGGGTCATTTGTGGTCCTTGGAGAGTTACTTACTTACTGAAATCAAGCCCTATATTCTGCTGAAAAGTTACTTGTCTATTTCAAGCATACTGATGAATTTGCACTGGAAAAGAGACAAAAATACTTGTATAAAGTTCTGTTTTTGAAGTCTATTAATGATTTTTTTATGTATATTTGGTGTTTGAACTATTGAAACATGCTGTTATAGTGGGATTTTAGCTACTAGCAGGCGGTTCTGCTGAAAGCATATATGACTTTACTTACTTGTGTTGCTTCCTCCACCGGTTCCAACAGTGTTGATAGTTGTCGGCACCGAGGATGATGGGTAAAGTAGGAGATGTCCGTTCTCACAGCCCTGCTGCTGGTGCCAGCCTCCTCCGATCCCCGAGTCCCGGGAGTTCTGCCAGCCGTTGAGGCGGTCGTCGGAGCCGTAGCGCTGGTGGTGGTGGTGGTGGTGGTGCAGGTTGTACAGGTTCCCCGACGACGAAGAGTTCGTGGAAGACGAGGATCCCGACGAGGCAAGGGTGGACGGAGGCGTGGACTGGTGGTGGTGATGGTGGGGGCCGGCGGCGGGAGGCGGCCTCTCCAGGGAGTCGCCCCGTGCGGCGGCCCTCTCCTCCAGGTGGTTCAGCCAGAGGGCCAGGGCGGAGCGGTCCTCCATGGAGGTGGCTGGGTGGATGAGGGCGTAGGACAGCAGCTGGCGGGACTCCTCCAGGTGGTGGCCGTGCTCGATGGTGTGCGCCAGGATGCGCGGCAGCAGGCGCATGTACTCGCTCTTTGCCTCTGTGTTGCCCGGTTTGAGCAGAGGGAGGTGGGTGAGGACCAGAGAGATGATCCGCTCCTTAGGCTCACCTTGCCACTGACTGATCAGACCTGTGACAAACAAAGAAACAAACACTATAAGCTTCATGAAGCTAAAATACACAAGAAGTTATGTTTCAAGAAGGATTCAGTTGTGTTGGTCATATCTGTATTGAGTCAAAAATTAACAGCAATTTTTTGGGTTATTTAGCCTAACATACAAGAAACACATTTTTTAAATTTTTTACCACGTTATTTATTAATTTATAAGCGCGAGTTTCAAATTAAATCTTTAGTTAGATTTAAAATAGAAAACCCCACCATGATGTCAAAAGTATTCAGCTTGCTGTATTTATATTTAACTTCAAAACTAAATATTTCCCAAAATATTTAGGTTTAAATATTTAGCTCACTACCAAGCTATTTAGCTTATGAACTGAAACTAGCCTGCTAACTAAATATTTGGCTTAAAGCTAAATATTTAGATTTCTATCTTGATATTTAGTTTATACACTGAATATTTTTCTTGGTAACTAAATATTTAACTTGGAAGCATGTTTCAAATTAATAGCTATATTTTGGGTTATTTACCCTGCGTATTCAGTTAATATGTGATAAAGTGATGTTGGTGAAGAATAATTTAAGTTGAAGATTCCACAAACGTGAAGTGTTGAGTAGCAAGTAGCACGATATGTTTAGAGAAGCCTAGACGGGGAAAAAAGCTCCCATTTGGAGATGTGATTCATCGATGTAATTAGTAAACACCTGCACAGTTGAAAAATAGAAGACCTTACTATGATGTCAGGCCTATAGTCACCGATCCATTTAGAGGTTTCAGTAAACAGGTCCTGGCGGGCTGGGCTGAGCATAACCTGGAGGTCATGGAGCTCTATTGTTGTCTGTGAGCCGCTAGGATCCATTCCTGCCGCCTTGGGCCACAGCTATAGTTACCAGCAGGTTCAGGTCGGCAGCTTCAGTCAGCCGAACAAATAAGACGGGACATAAGAGGAAGCAGGAACACTTCACATCCTGTGGAAAGACACCAGCTGTAAGCCGGAGCTCATGGCTCTGGCCTTCATGTCCAACAGTCAGAGTTGGACCCAGACTGGGTACAATGTCTGGGTGAAGTAGTGATACTTCAACATATTGTTACTCAAGTAAAAAGCAGCCAAGAAATTATTCGAGTAAAAAACAAAAAACGCCTATTCAAGTAACAGATCAAATTATCAATCATTATTTAAAACTGTCAACATCAGATGGATCAAGAAATAAGGTTAAGTGGAAATTTTGTTATTTCAAGGACCAAAATGACAATAATTATTATAAGTAATAAAAAATAACAAAATCAGGCAAAATACATTTTTCCACATCAGTTTCTTACAATAATTTTTTTTTTAACTTTAACAAAAACAGGTTGTGTGTCTGTGTCTGGTGAAGTTTTGGTTAAAAATGTTTGTTTTTCATTCAGTGGACAGATAATACAAACATTTTACTCAAAAGTAGAAATACTTCATAATAAAATTATTTAAGTAAGAGTAAAACATACAAGTTCCACTTGCAGATAAATGCATTTTCCATGTTCAAATGTACTAAAGTAATGATCTGTTGCTGCATGTTAAACAATAAAATGTTTATTTTCTTATTTAAAAAAAGGAATTGACTTTTTTATTTAATTTTTTTTAAATATTTTAATGTATTTCTAATATTGTATGAAAATGCTTATGTTTTTAGATTTAAAAAATCTGTAGCATGTACCAATTTTATCCAATTAATTGCGTAATTGGATAACTCAAGCAAGTTATCTGATTATTCTATTGATAGCATTAATCGATAGTATAATTGATTAATTCTATCGATTGATCAATTATTCTATCAATTAATCGATGGAATAATCGATTATTGTTAGAAGTGACAATTAATTCAGTAATCAATTAATCGTGAACAGGAGTAGACAGGCTGCTGGCCATTTGCTGTAAAACAACATATTCAGAGCAGTAATTAATCAAATCTGTACAAAATATAGATATTTTGCATTTAACATAATAAAACAAACCTTTGTCTGTGAATATTATTTTTTATCAAAAACTCCTCCATGGCAGTTTTAGCTTCCACTGTTTCAAATTCGCTAAAGGAAAGCTGTGTTATTGCATTTCGGGCAATGAGATGATTATTTTCTTATTTATAAAAAGGATTTGACATTTTAATGCATTAATGGATTTTATGTGTATAGAAGAAACTTAAGTGGGTAAATTAAGAATCTATAGAATGTGAATTTTTTAAAATCTGATTAATCGTTATAATAATCAATGAATTAGTGTTAGTTTCAATGAGTAATACCAAGAATACTTTTGTTCTTCATTTGAATATTTATGCTTATAAACTCAATATCTATTCTGTGTGGAATTTTTTTCACGTCTTGGTTTGTGGTCTGAAGTGTCAAAAAAATAACAGCAACGCTCACTGGAAAAAATGGAGGAAAACTTTAGAGCTCAAGGTTAGACCCAAAAAAAGAAAAAAGAAAGCTCTCCTGTTGTAGAGGAGAGAGGCCCACATCTAGGAATGATGTAATACTGCGGACCAGGAAGCAGGAAAAGATGAGGTAGAGATAAGTAACAAAATATGGAATGGAAATAAATGGAATGAATTAAGGAGCAAGACTTGTAAAGGGATCCAGGAAGTCACTGCGCCGCGATCCAAGGGTGACGCAATCCCTCATTCCTCTGAGTGGAGCAATCCTGGGCCTATCTCAGAGCAGCAGTTGCTCCATGAATGAACCTCATGGCTAGAAAATACCCATTTGTTACAGAGAAAGTGTAAAATAGAAAAACTAACTTCAAATGTAGAGTTGCTCTGCCAGTTTTTAAAATGTCAGCTTAAATGGTGAAATGTAGCTGCCAAATGTTTCTAAATGATCAAATCTGAGCTTCACTACAATGAAAAAGGAACGTGATCCCACATAGTTTGTGTTTAAAGCAGAAATCCCATCTAAACAGGTCTGGGTTACATACCAGGGCTGAAACGATTTATTGGATTAACTGTGATTAATCGATTATTGAAATAATCAGCAACAAACGTAGTAGTCGATTAATCGCTAACTGGAGTATACAAAGTCAAAAAAGGCTATTTTCTCAATCTGCTAAAAAAAAGTAAAGAAGCCAAAATGTACAAAAATGTATATATTTTACATTAAAGATGATAAAAGTGCTGAGCTTTTCACATTTATGTTAAAAGTATTTTTAGCTGCAGATGCATCCTTTGCTACAAATGACAAAGTGTTTACTGCAGGAATGCTGTGTACTTCACGCAATACCATGTTCATTTTCTTATTTAAAAAAGGAATTAATCATCATTTTAACTTTATATAAAAGGTGGTTAAGTGAAATACCTCCAGAATGTGCCAATTTTTTATCTGATTAATCAAATAATCAGTAGAATAATCAATTACTAAATAATCATTAGCTCCAGCCCTAGTATGTAACAGATAAAGAGCTTTTAAAATGTCAGGACAAATCAGTTTTAGTATTTCTTTCCATAAAAGACTGTGGTATTTATTACAAAAAATGTAATAAAATCACATTTGTATTAACCACTGATCTCAAACCCTACATCTGGCTCAAGTTAGTATCTGAGAGACAGGATTAAAATGACCTAACAGACAATACACTGCAAAAACACAAATTTCACCAAGAGTTTATGTCTAGTTTCTAGAGAAAATATCTTAGTACACTTGAAATGAAAGAAAACTAACATATTTTTCAGCAAGATGTAGGAGCTTCTTTCATGTCAATAATTCCTTAATATAGATGAAATTGTTCTCGTCCCATTGGCATATTTATAACAAGTCAGTTTCTCAAGTCAAAAAAACTGAAAATACAACAATAAGTAAGAAGAGAATGGCTAAAAAACATAAACCTGGTTAAAAAGGTCAAAGTGGAGCAGTTCACCTCACACTGACCTTGAACCAGCTTTCATCACTCAGAGGAGTCACAGTTCAAACCTAACATGGGTTAAAGGTCAACAGCTAATAGAAACATGCGCTATGTTTTCACATATGGATCTGATTCTAATCAGTTCGGTTACAACGGCGCACAAATCTGGAGCATCACTTTAACACATTCAACAACTGCTATTAAAGGTGACCCATTATGCTTCCTTGAACGGTTTGTGGGTGAAACAGAACACATTTTACACAAAATCATTTTTAGATGAGATTTTAGTTTGCTCAGTTCAGAATGGGGTGTTTTAGGGCGTCCTGTCACTTTAAATCCAAATAAGCTGCTGATGGCCCTAGCCCGAACTCAACGTTTTCACTCACACGTGAAAATGACTACAAATATATGTATGATACAACTGTACATATTTGAAAAGCAGAACTTGAGCCTCCTGCACAATCAACAAGAAATCAGCAAGTCAACAACAAAACACTCATACACAGAAAAATTAGCCGTTTGATTGCCAAGTCATATTTGATTAGAGGGCACTGTTACCCAACAACCCGAGTTCAGCCCAGCCCTGTCATCTAGCAACCCAAGCAGAACTCCAGCACATTTGGTCAACTGCAGTAAAAATACAAAGTCTTAACAAGTATTTTTGTGTATTTTAGTGCAAATATCTTAGACAAAACTAACTCACAAGTAAAGTTTTAGCAAAAATATTGTTAAAATGTTTTATCAAATAAAACAAGCAACTTTTACTGATCAAAACATATTAGTTCAGCTGGCAGATTATTTCACTTATAACACAACATTTTCCCATGTTATAAGAGAAATAATCTCTCAGTGGAACAAGTACTATTTCCTAAAAGCACTTTAAATCACCTTATTGCTGAAAATATGCTGTATTAAAAAAGTTACCTTACCTAATTACCTTAATTTTTAAATATGTTTCAGTATTCAGGAATCAGTGGCTTAAACTTCTACTCACTGAAAAGTTACTTTAAGTCAGTGCACTTGAAATAAAGCCAAACTAAGATATTTGCACAGGAAACAAATAGTCAAAAATACTTTGCAGCGTTAAAACCAACTGACCAGCTGGGCATTGCTGGGGTTGCAAGGTAACGACACAGTGCTAGT